CGAGGAGGACATCGAGCAGGCTCGCACGTCGATTTTGGATCGGATATCAGAACGAACTATACCTAATATTTTCATAGGCTTAAGCGAGCAGTATAAGTGTGTTTTGAATTCATTTCGGTTTATTTCAATTTTGTTACATATTAATTATTGCCAGAAGACCTCCGTTGATTACAATCTAATCTCCGCCTCGGCGGACGACCACTCCACACAAACAGCGAAGTCTACGACCTTCTGGAACGAACCGTCGCCTACGGCGAGAGCAACTCTTGTCTACTTTTGGGTAACCGCGGCACGGGCAAGACTATGGTCGGCTATCAATCATTTCTCTTTTTGTCTGCAAATTTCATCACTGCGAAATCTCGTGCCATCTGACTCCTACACCTCAATTCTATTTAGATTATCCGCCGTGCCCTCCAAACTCTCGATGCCAAATACAATAACGATGCCAAAGTCGACAAGACCTTCATTGTCGTCCGCCTTAACGGCCTCGCTCAAACGGACGATCGCCTTGCACTACGCGAGATCACAAGGCAATTATGCTTCCAGCAGGAACTCGAGCAGCGGTCCTTTGTGCGTGTTCTTCATATTGCTTCAGTTGTTCACCTTTGGTCGGATGCTGATGAACGTGCTCGAACACAGCCCTCCTTCGCAGACTGTCTCGCCTTCCTCCTCTCGCTCCTCAAGTCCGGCACCCGGAGCAACATTCCCGTCGTCTTTGTGCTGGACGAGTTCGACCTGTTCGCGCAGCACCCGAAGCAAGCACTGTTATACAATCTGTTCGACGTCGCACAGAGCGGACAGAATCCCGTAGCCGTGATCGGGATGAGTTGCAGACTAGTGAGTCAAGTTCGCGTGTTACAGTTATTGGAGTTCATGTTGGATCCGCGTGAGCTGAGAAAATGAGTCCTTCATGTTGATTACCTTTTCCGAATCGTACCCCATTTCATCAAATTAACAGGACACCATGGAACTCCTCGAAAAGCGCGTCAAATCCCGTTTCTCCCACCGCCAGATCTATCTATTCCCGCCCGAACAATTCAAAGATTTCATGTGCATCGTACGAGCGACACTCGCGCTAGGGGACGAGGTTCGGAACGAGAAATATAAGAGCGAGTTCAACGCGGTTTTGGAGGTACAATCCGTCGAGTTTATGTGGAAATCGTGAAGCAGTGAGTTTCAGTTGTTTTAATACATATTGTCATCACTTTTCTTTAACCTAGGTGCTACTCGAAGATCCGTCATTCATTCAGGTTGTGCGGCGTGTGTTTGATCTGACGAAGGACTTGAGGATGTTCTACAAAATTTGCGTACGCGTTGTCACTTATATTTTCGAAAATTATGGATTGTTTTTATGTGAAAAATGTGCGAAACCGATCAAATCCTCTCGTCAAGCGTTATTGTTGACGCTACATTGTGGATCCTTTTTCTGGGAAAATCTTTAGTTCGAACCCGTCAGTCTCCTCTCACCACAACGACCGTTCTGGCAGCTTTCTGACTTCTACAACGCGGGCATGCAGCAGCGTGCAGACGCTAAGACGGAGCTGCTGAAAGGTGTGCTATTATATTCTCTGTCTCTCATTATCTCAGAATGGCAGCTTCATTCAGGGCAAGATGTTTTAACGTGAAGTGTGGTCCCTGTTCTTGAAACCATTTCTTTACCACACAGGAGTCTCAATTCTTGAGCTATGTCTTATCGTCGCAATGAAGAAGCTCCTGGAGCGCGATTGTGTCACGTTTAACTTCGAAATGGTCTACGACGAGTACAAGGAGTTTATGGACGCGTCTGTCATAAAGGGACAGGGTTTCGGGATGAAGCTCTACAAGCGGGCCGTTGCGATGAAGGTACGTCTCCTTATCTTCTATTGCGCATGAATCCAATCCGCGGTCTCTTGGACGACCGAATTCTCGCACTCACACTACCACCCATCTGTGACAGGCCTTCGAGCACCTTGTCTCGTTCGAGCTCGTCCGACCCATCGAAGCCGTGGCGCGGTGTCCCAAGGAATATCGCATGATGAAAGTGATGCTCGAGCCGATGCAGATCACGGAGGTGGTGTTGAAATATCGGGATTGCCCGACCCTGGTGAAGAAGTGGGGGAGTGGGAATGGAATGTGAGGGTTGGATGAACGACGGTCGCCAGGTTGGTGTTGGAGCATGAGTGTTACGAACTACCCCAATTGTAAAGTAATTGAGTGAATTAATATAGGCCATCCGCAATGGGCTTCATACATCACGTGATATACCCCTCCTTGTCATTAACCGTTCACACGTAGACAATAAACCTCCTTTTGTTCTGGTTTTAGCGTCAAAGAGAAGGTCAGTTGTGCTTATTAGAATTGTACGAAAGGACTGGAATCCGACTGCCATCAATCATGGATACCCGAGGACTCGAGGACAGCCAACACGACATTTCACCAGCAACCATCCGTTATATCATACATCCATCCATCGGCGCCATGTCCATCTATGCATATCGATACCTGAAAGGAGACTAATGCTGGATCTTCACCTCCCCACGTTCTATAAATCCGAATCATCCCTTATTTCCGTCATCGACATTCTCGCCCCATTCTACATCACCAATTCCAAAAACATTGTGCACAATATGGATTCCCAATGACATTAGCTGTCATGCAGATCTTTGTCAAGACCCTCACTGGCAAGACAATCACCCTCGAGGTGGAGTCCTCGGACACCATCGACAATGTCAAGCAGAAGATCCAGGATAAGGAAGGTGTGTGGCGAGCAAGTTGCGCTGGTCGAATGAATGAAATGGTGTGGGTGCGAGCGAATGAAATGGTGTGGGTGCGAGCGAATGAAATGGTGTGAGTGCGAGCGAATGAAATGGTGTGGGTGCGAGCAAATGAAATGGTGTGGGTGGGGGAATCAAATAGTGTAGGTGGACGGGTTAGGACGGTGTTGGGGTTTTTGGTGTCGCACAGCGGGATAGTAAAACACGGGCGGGCAGAGCTTAGGATTAGCAGGTGTGGCATAGCGAATAAGGGTAGAACTCAGAAAACTAGGGGATTCCTTTCCGACGTCACTGGGCTCTACGACCCGCCTCATAATGGTTCTCGTACCTCACCCCACGTCTTCGAACCACCCAGGTATCCCCCCGGACCAACAACGCCTGATTTTCGCCGGCAAGCAGCTCGAGGACGGCCGCACTCTCTCCGACTACAATATCCAAAAGGAGTCCACGCTCCACCTTGTCCTCCGTCTCCGCGGTGGCATTATCGAACCTTCGCTCAAGGCCCTCGCCTCCAAGTACAACTGCGAGAAGATGATCTGCCGCAAATGCTACGCCCGTCTGCCCCCGCGTGCCACCAACTGCCGCAAGAAGAAGTGCGGTCACTCCAACCAGCTCCGCATCAAGAAGAAGGTGTGTGACCCGATTCGTCGGATATTGCTGTGTCGTTTTTTGTGGAGGATTGCGCGAGATCAAAATATTATTATATGATATTTATTATTTCCTTTACATTTTTCTCACCACCAACAGCTGAAGTAATGGTTTGCTGGATTGTTGGATGTGCTTGAATGTCTGCATTGTGTGCACGTAAAAGCACGGAAGAGAAACATGATTTTTTTTTTTTTAAACCAAACAAGATCATCCATTTGCGTGGTTAACTATCTTGTGGTCGCGTTGTGTTTGGTGGTGTGAGCTGGCGTAAGATTGGGATATCGGCGTGCCGATAGGCTGGAACGTACAAATACCTGAAAAGTTCAGGGCTGATTGGAAAAGAGGCCTTTGGCCAATTGAATGAAGGAATGGGAATGGGTATTCGGATTAAAAATTGTCTTATCGAAATCCATACTCTTCTGGAACATCCTCTCCTATAGGCTGTCTGTGGAACACCAAAGCATGATCGCTTTCTATAAGGTGTTGTGTCGCTTTAGGTTATTTCCTTCAGCCCCTAAGGGTAATCGGAAGCTCTCGGTTTCGCGATGAAGAGTGGGGGCTCTCAACCTGTGAATACAGTTGCGAATTGACTGAGAATCAATACCTCTCATCACCCTTCTAACGACATTGACCATTCCCAATAATAATATCCACTATCCAACACATTTACCTTGTGTCCCGTGCTTTTTCTTGTTTCGCGATTCGAAATTGACGAAGTGGGGATAAGGAGCCGTCGGACGGAATCCAAGTAGATTGATTGATCCCCCCTTGAAAACTAGGAAGCTAATGAGTGCCAATATTGAATCGGTTGAATCGAGCGCTCTGGCGCAATAAAATCTTTACATCACAACCGTGGCCATTTAATGGTTATCCATTCTGATGGCCAGAGTCTATTGGCCATTCTGATGGCCAGAGTCTATTGGCAATAACACATAACACGGATTAACCTATGTGATTAGGACTCGCAAAGATAACAAAACGAACATCATCCAACCCCTCCGATCGTTCCTGCCATAACACATACAATCTTACGCTATCCATCAAGCAATAATAATAATCCATTCTATTCCTCGCCCCGATACGCGGCTTCAAAACAACGTCTCCTGCCTCCCCTTCTTCACCACACGATACCCCTTCGGAGGACTCCTTTCAGCCCTTTCCTCCTCCCGCGTGGGCACGCGCTTGACAATTTCGACCTTGAGCAGCTCCTTAAGTTTGAGAATCAGGCCCGCAGCGGTCGGGCTAATGGGATGATAGACAGTTTGGTGGAGGCGGTTGAGGCGAAGGGTACGGGTGGCGGCACGGTAGGTGGACGCCAGCCCAATGGTCGAGCGCTTCAGGGTGACCTTGTAGAAGGAAGTGGAAGTTGAGGTGTCACTGGTGGAGGCAGTAGCGCGGGCGGAGACGGCGGCGCTGGTGGAGACGAAACGGCGCAGCTGGATGAAGAGGGTGCGCATGATGTACGGCGAGCAGAAGACGAAAACACTAAAGCCACCGCAGTCACATTAGTCACATTGATCATGTATATATACCTCAGTTACTACAAAAACTACTGCGGTGGGTATAAGAGTATTACTTTTCGTCTTGGGACAAAAAAAGTGCCAGCGGTGGGATTCGAACCCACGAATCTTACGACATGGAATCTTAAGCTCCACTCCTTAAACCACTCGGACACGCTGGCATAAATTCAAATTATCAGTACTTTCAATATCTATTTAAAATAACTTTATTAAATCTAAATTTTAACTATTAATAATATAGTATTTGAGTCTTTAAATGATATATTTTTTATTAGATTTGAATAATTATAGATATTAATATAACTATTTTAAATTAAATTACTCATTGTTATAATTTTGATTATTTTTAGTATCTAAATCTGTTTTAATTTACAACTCTTTTTTTTTTTTTTTTTTTTTTTTTTTTTTTTTTTTTTTTTTTTTTTTTTTTGTTTTACTGACTCAGAGTCTCATGGATTTTTATTGGAAGAGAACCTAGACTATATAGGCCAAAACTCTCTCCCATCACCTATCAAGTACTACTCCTTTATTAATCTAGACTAGCTATTGTCTAGTAGCTCAACTATACTAGGTACAATAGGACCTATATCTTATTCTGCATATTATACTCTCTCTATTATCAGAGGGAACTCAGCCATGTGCCAATGACTGAAAGCATATATTTGAAACCCTAACATATATATAAGATCATACCTAAGTCAAATAGAATAGCCTCTATCACTCTAAGGAGAATAATAAGTAAAGAAAACCTCTTATCAAAGTATATCATAGTGGATAGAACCTAGTTCTCTCAGATGAGATAAGTAAAGAACTTATATATGAGATAGGAGAAGACCCCCAATACTCCACTACTCAAGTCTGTAGGCCTCAATCATATTGTCATGTCAGCTCTCAGTTTTAGTTAAGTATAGTCAAGATATCTGAAATAGATAGCCTCAGGCCCCTCAACCCCTCTCAATGACTGGGGCCCAACCTCATGAATTGCCAAAAGAAGCTGTAAGTAACACCTACTATCTAACTACTCTACATCAATCAAAAGTCTCACCAAAGTAGTACCCACTCTAGTCTCGATGATTGCTCTCAGCCTGGTACACTACTGGTTCACTATTATCACCCTTTCTTTTATCTGTGATGGTGTAATGGTTCTAGTTTCTAATTAAGGAAGTGACTAGTTCTGGTAATCCTAAGTAACTCGAAGAGATACTAAGGGTTCAAGTGTTCTTGAAGGATTTCAGAGAGAAAATATTCTAAAGCTTTATTCATAAGAACAAAGGAGATATATAATAAAGAATGATGATGTAATGTCAAATTAAGCAAACTCAAGTCTATTGGAATAATTCAGAAATCTTATGGAAATTATTCAGAAATTATATGGAAATTATTCAGAAGGCATACCTGATGGGAAATTTCTTAGCAAATGTATTGCCCAAGATCTGACAGTCTTTGTTTGCATACTGCCCATTTACCACTCTTTATTGTCAATTTCCTAATGATCTTGCAGCCTTCGTCTTGTGACTTGTAGGCTTGTGAACTTGCAGTGTCCAAATTAAGGCCTCATAGAATAAAAATCTAGCACAAGTGCAAAGGGTGTTTGAAATGGTTCTATGCAATACTACCACATTATAATAAACTCTCATCCCATACATATTTTATACTCATATCAATAATGTAAGCAAACAAGTTCACTTACAAAAACAGTAAGCAAACAAGTTTACCTACAAAAGCAGCAAGTAGACAAGTTCTTTGTAAGCAAATAAGTTCACTTATAAAGCACTCAAGTTCCCCATCTCTACCACTATATCCACTCCTCACCTCTACTACTATACCCACCCCCCACCTCTACCACTATACCCACCTCTACACTCACTACCTCTATGCTCTAGAAATTCACAAGAAAAAGTAGCAAAAGGAAGAAAACCATTGTGGTCAAGATTTCATATCAACCAGGTCATACAACTACCAATAATAAGGGCAAAAACAAGTCTATATCTATCACTTTCACCATTCTCACCATGGACGATGACAGTGTAGATGATGGGGATATGGATGACAAGGATGGGGAATGTGAGGATGTACATAGATAGCGAGAATGTGGAGGATAATGACAAGAATATAGATGATAATGATGAGTATGTGGACAATGAGTTTGTAGATGACAACAACAACAACAACAACAACAACAACAACAACAATGATGAACCTTTATCTAATCTCTCTGCTTTTATATGCCTCAAATATAAGAAGTCTTTTTACTCAAAGTCTACTCTCCCTAAGTATCTCAGATCCATTCTCAAAGTCTTCTGCCTCTTTTTCTCTGATGAAATGTTAAAAATAATTGTTGCCAATATGAATTACTATGCCACAATGAAGATAGAGGATTCTATAACTGGTAGAGAGTGGAAGATTCTAACAGTACCTGAACTCCTTATCTTCATTGTCATTTGTATTTACTTCAGCCTTTTCTATACTGAAGAAAGCCTCAAGTGGCAGTAGGATATAGACCTCCAGAAGCCAAAACACTGTATCCTTGAGTATATATCTCTGTTTCACTTCCAACAAATCAAATGATTCCTTCACATTTCCCTATATAGATGATTACTATATGGTAAAACTTGAGCCATTATTATCTCATGTTCAAAAAATATCCCAAACAATATATGTATCAACTAAGTTCCAATATGTCCATTGACAAGATGATGATATAGTTTATAAGCAGAAGCTTACATACTTACCACATGAAGTTTAAGCCAATCTTGAAGGGTTACAAGGTCTTCACATTATGTGATTATAGTTATATATAAACATTCCTTCCAGATTTGTGCACCACTAAAAGCAAGGAGATAGAGGATGATGACAATAATAAGTTTGGTATAATAGCATATACCATGATTTACCTGGTCAAACAATTACCTAAGATACAGGGATTCAACATCTATATGGACAGATACTTCTCCAGCATTCTACTATTCAAATATCTATAATCAAAGAGAATTGAGATATGCAGAATAGTTAAAACAGATAGAACACAATTCCCAGAGAAACTCAAAACCAAATGTAGCAAAGAGAAAGAGCTTGACTGGAATACATTGTCAGGAGTAGTCATTGATGATGTTCTAGTATTGCTATAGAAGAATATCTCTACAGTCAAAATACTAACTACTGTCCATGAATTGCAAGGAGCAGAATGGAAAATTGAGTGCAAATGATAATGTTCAATAATAATCAAAGCCAACAAAACTTGAGTCCAAGCAACCTGGGGAAATGAACATTCTATAGATATTGAGATTCCAAAAGTTATCGATGATTACCACCATCACATAGGAGGGGTTGACATTGCTGATCAACTCCGAGCATATTACTATACATAAATTAAAGCCAAAAGAAATTAATGGTCAATGTTCTTCTAGTTGTTAGACATTGCAGTTATCAATTTATACCTTATATACAAGATAGGTAGGTCTAAGACTGATCACAAAACCTCCTAACTTGACTTGGCTTAGGGCCTTGTAATGCTAGCAGATGAGAAAGAAAAAGGAATAGAAATGAGAAAGATATACAAACATAGCTATGAAGAACAGATGCTGCTAAACTCCAAATATCCAAAGAACCCTTACATCACAAAAAATTCCTACAATTTAGATCCCTCTTGACTTCTTTCTGGCAACTATCTATCTATCATAAGAGACCAGCATGAGGTATATATATAGTATTGGTCATAAGCAAAGACTGGCAAAATCACAATTAGCAAAAAGAACCCACCCCAGAGCAATATTATCTATCAAACATGTAATACCATTCTTTGTCTGAATTGAGAGCAAAACTGTTTTGTAGAATATCATACTCAGAAAGAATAGGTATATTAACAATTGGTGAGCAGACAACACATAATATAACAAAGTAGAACCTCACTAATACTGATACTTATCTATTCTGAATCTATCCCAAATCTATTCCAAATCTATTCCAAATCTATTCCAAATCTATTCCAAATCTATTCCAAATCTATTCCAAATCTATTCCAGAGCATGCCAGTCTTACCTGATCACAGACTTTGCTTGAAACCCCATTTCTTTTCCATCGCTGAGGTACTGATAGCCACCAATCTTGCTGAGACAATATTGGACATGGCTAGGTATATCATTCAGAAATAGCTATACATTTGTGAATAGTGTATATATACTTCACATAGTTAACCCAAATCTGACAAGGTAGTGCTCTTCATTATAGTCTAAAGGAGACAGTTGTTGTCACACTTTTGCAGCAATAAAGTTATAATAATAAAATGCAGTTAGTCATTTATTGAAATCAATCTTTACAAATATTATTGATAATTTTGCAAATCTTATTCTCATCATCTGCTATAGGTATATCAAGTATAAGCCTCTTTGCTAAGATATATTTGTAAGATAAAACTAAAGGATTTTTAAATGAAACTAGTATCATAGTGCTGATATCTAGTCTTGATTTACCTTTCATCTTATCTGTTGATAGCCAAAGATGTAACATTTTCTGCAGCTGTTCTATATATATCTTATACTAATATATCGGGAGATCAGATAGGGGGTGGGATCACTGTATTTATATGGGATAGATGGGTATTAATAAAGAAATGGAGTCCAAGTGACTATAAAATATATATATATATATATATACTAATACATCTATCTATCCTCTAAATAATTAATATCTAAGCTTTATTATTACTTTAATATATTATTGACAGATTGTAAATATTCATATTTTTGAAATAATACATCTTAGTGTATTTATTAATTATTAATAGATTTAGCTTATATAAACTATCTGTATTTATATATAAGACAATTGATAAGTACTCTTTGTTCTTTTTATATTTAGCAAGATACTGTATAGCTAATATATGATTTTAATCTAATATAAAATAAATATATAAGTAAAGATTTTATAAGTTATATATATATAAGCTATATATATATATATATATTAATAAAAGCAGAGCCTTTATAATAGCAGTTTGATCAGTAGATATAGTTTCTTCTTAAAGTCTTTGATAGTAAATATCATATCATTTCTTGAATTTTTGTAGCTAGCTAGAAGAAAATTGTAAAGCTCTGATAGGAATTTCTAATCCTTCAGTAAGTAATTTTGTCTTCTCAATAAGTATAACATTACTTAAAATTAA